CATTTACTGCACCTACAGTACCTGTATGTAGTCAAATGTGTGGTAAAGATGTAGATAATTGAATTTAATTATTAATAAACTGCATGCAATGAAAACCAAAACTGAAATTGATTCAGTTTATACATTTCTTCTGTATGCCCTGTAGAATATATACAGACATCCATGTTTACAGTGATACAAAGCATTAGAACAGTTTATCTATATCTACTTTTGCTAATAACAAATCATCTTTATTCTTAATCAAAAACATAAAGTACAAGTCTAATTAGTACCATGAATAAGAAATTTGAGTAGTGAAATGGTCCAAATAAAAATGGATGTTCATGTGACAGTGAGCTAATGATAATTCTATTAGAAGTAAAAGAACTGGCATGGCCAGGGCATGCAAGACTACTTAGGGCTGCCAGTTTATTATTAGAATAGGTGTCACAGATAGAGTGCCCTCACCCATCGGCTCCATCCAAGCTCTGTAGTGCCTGCTGGGTAAGGTAATCTTATTGAGTCAGTGTGAAGTTATGCTAACCTCCCCAAGCCAAACAGGGCTGATGGTGTTGGATATGATGGAGGAGCGTCTCTCCTGGCCATGGTGGGTAAACTTTGGGAGGCCGCTCCTCTTCCCGGGCTGGATCGACATTTTCAGGTAGGGGTCCGGGTTGAAGAACATCCCTTTCTTTAGGTTCACTGCTCGGAAGTCTGAATTGGAATACTTCATGAGTATTTTTGTATTCATTCTCCAGCACATTTCCACTGACTCATTCATCTCACCTGACAGGGTGAAGCTGACAAGTTTCCGACAGTGCTCATACTCTGACTGCTCCTCCACCTGGCCTTCGCCCCTCACCTGATGACAAAAAAAAAGAAAAACAAAAAAATGAACATGTTTTCAGCCCTGACTCTAACAGATAAAAGTTTAACCAGGAAGACCTAAGTGGGTGGAGTTAAGACTGTTTCTCACATCTCTTCACACGAGAGAGGTTAGTGCCATTCACCCTCACTACAATCACACCTCCTTGAATCTCACTGTTTAAATTCAGTTTATGGGTTCCCAAAGCCATGAACTATCCAAAATATATTATTCTTTTCACAAAGCTCCATGTATTAATGCTTGAATTTATTAGCTATTATTTTATCAGGATGAGTCAGTAAGAGTGAAAAATAATTTTGTGAGCTCTTGAACTCTTGAACAGTTCCTCGTGTAACCTGGATTTATTATCCATCCATTTTCTTCCACTTATCCAATTCTGAGTCACGGTGTGGCTGGAGCCTATCCTAGCTGTCTTAGGGCAGAGGGTCGGGGTACCCCTGGACCTGTCCAGGGTGTACTAACGCATAGAGACAGACAACCATTCATACTCCAATTCACACCTATGGGCATTATAGAATTACCAATTCACCCCACTAACTGCAGGTCTTTGGACGGTGTGAGGAAGCCAGAGTACCCAGAGAGAACCATACAAACACAGGGAGAACATGCAAACTCCACAGAGAAAGGCCCTGGCCTCACAGCAAGAAGGTCCTGAGTTTAGTTCCACACTGAACCTTCTTGCTGTGAGGCAACAGTGCTGACTAGGGCTGGGCCATATCATACCGTTCACGGTAATACCGGTATAATGTTGGGCAACGATAAGAAAATGAAATATCGCAATAGAATATGGGTAAAACGCGCATGTGCAGTGCCTTTGTTTACATAAGGCGACGCAGAATGAGAAGAGCGAGAGCGGATCGTTGAATGAAACGATGAACCAGAACTGGTTTGTAAAAATGCTGCAGCTTCACTGGTGTGGAACTGGTTTAGCTTTCGTCCGTCAGATACACAACAAAGCACTATTTTTGGTAGCGCATGCTAGCGGGCCGTCGTTATTACCGTGTTGTTTGGAAAA